ACTTTCACTTCCTGGCCAATAAATCCTGATCAGAGCCTGTATATAACATAGTGAGAAAGTCGATATTATTGTGTCAATTAATCCTACGAAAAATTTAAATAGTACGTACTTAATTAAGCAACAAGGAAACTTATGGTTAAGAGATAAACATACCGTCAAAATCGGATTGTTATTTCGGTATGGTTCATATCCATATTTTGTGCATAGAATTGTAGAACCCAAAATTCTAAACAGGGCCTCATCCATAAGAAATGAGGAAACTTTTTATATATATTTATTTGTGTAGCTCCTTAATTGCTGCATAATCTGTTGTGTGGGAAAATGTGATAGACACGTGAGAGAACGATGATATGACACGTGCCCTTAACCACTCCCCGCAAAGCAACAGTCCTCGACGTCTGGGGGCTCCCTCCCAGTCCGTTACAAAAAGCCAAGTACGAAGTCCAACTTAAGGCGTCGATTATTCCTGGCATCGACAGGTCGTACCGTCGACCTTTAGACATAGAAATCCCTCGATCGTAGAATCAACCGCCAAGAAGGACAAGCGGGTTAAGCAACACTGGCGACGAGGGAATGCATTTTGGGAAAAAACCTGACATGGCAAGTTGCGTACAGAGGTGGGGGATGTCTGCAAAGCAAGCATTAATTACGAACCCTTAAACCGCCCCACAAGAGACAGTGAAGGGTTACAGGAACGCACAGAGCCGTAATAGAAGACTAATTGGCTGAGTGAACAGTACTCCAAGTGATTAGTGGGCTACGACTGAGCCTAAAAAGGGAGAGCACTTTAGTGCCTCTACCTACGAAGGAAATCAACCCAGCGAATGAAGCTCCCAATATAAAAAGGGCAAGACCCCATACAGGAACAGGTTCAGATCCAAAAAAAAAAGGAAAAAAGAGTGAGAGAGAACAATTGATGTGAATTGTAATCCCCTCAAAAGAAATATACAACCACAATAGATGTAGCTCTGATTTTATAGAGTGAACCACTATAAAATTTCTTGTGTCATTTATTTGTGCATATCTTTTTATTAATGTACAATACACCCTTCCTATAAATTCTTACACACATTCAACACTAAAACCGATAATCCAACGAGAAACCCAAAGATAACCCGACATGTTTTTGTTAACGAGAAATCACCGTCAACATAATATAATTGGAGACTATATATATGTTTCATAGGCCACGAGATGTCTGGAAACTTTTCCAACTTTGAAAGAACAATATTCAATAGGAAGCTCTGAGTTACTGGTTGAGTAATAAACTCTTTCATCCTTGAACCAGAGAGATCCGGACCAAAATATGGAATAAAAGTAACAGTTTTTTTTTTTTTTTTTAGTTGAAACCGTTGTCATACCTAGTTCGTCCCGTAAGCACATCTAAAGAAATTGGCTCTAGGTTTGGTTGATCACGATTCCAGGTAAGTGTTCCTCCACTTTAATTTCTTTCTTTTTTTCTAATTTATTATTTTTTTTCTCTTCTTTTCCTTGCTTCCCATTGATTACAGAAATTTTTAGCTTTTCTCAAATAATTTCAGATTGAATTTTGACATAAGGAATTCATATCACTTAAGTCTAGTTTCAAGTTCGATTGTTTTGGAATACAATGTTCAGTCTTTTTTTATGTTTTTCATGTTAAATTTTTTTTTTTTAATTTTATAGGGACAAGATATATGTTGTTCTAGTGGCTACGGGGAGTTTCAATCCTCCTGCTTTTATACATTTACGCCTCTTTGGTGAGTTTCTGTGACTCTGGTGGTTAATAATAAGGAAATTCATTATGACTTTTGTTTCAGTCTTTCAAAGTGACTTTTGTTTCGTACATATTACAATGAACTTTAGATGTGAAAATTTTTTGGATTTTTTTCTTTATTGTTTGCATAATTTTATGTCCAAGTCAGAAATGGGTCAAGCTATTGTAGTGAAGAAGCAGAAAGAACGACATTATGATGCTTTTAGTCATTTTATACTAGTTTTCTACTTTTCAGAATCGTGAATTACTCGAGTCATCAGTGAAAAAAAAAAATACATATGCAAAAATTGTTAGATATTGGAATTTTATCGATATTTTTCGGGATATTGTATTAAAGATAGGTTCTCGATACAAATAACATTGGAGAAGATATGTTTCTCTAAAATAGGGAAATTTTATTGATATGATTTTCATGTGTTTTAGTTTTTAGGAACATTGACATAATATCTATGTTTTTTTTTTTTTTTGACAATTCAACGTTTTTACTATAATATTTTCTCTCACAACAATTTGAATTTCAGCTTAAGTTTTCCGTTCAACCCGCAAAAGAACGGTTCCCAAATTGTTCTTCTTTGCATATGACTTGCTATTTCTTGTACAATTTCCAATTAGTGCTTCGTTTACGCCATTTTCTTTTCCAATTTAAGTAGAATGTTTTATGCTATTTAAGGTGAGAAACAGACCTAATGCATATTGTGGTACGTTTTTCTATTGTGCAGAGCTGGCAAGAGATGAGCTAAATTCATAAGGCTTTTGTGTTATTGGAGGTTATATGTCGCCGGTGAATGACGCATACAAGAAGAGAGAATGTCTCTTTTAATAGCAGATAAACAAAAGTTCAGAATCTCTACATGGTCAATTCATATTAAAGGTTCAAAATCTGCACATGGTTAATTCATATTATGCGAGTTTTAAAGTTTTGACTCAGTTATTGCAGCCAAATCTTATCGTCACAGACTCACATGTTCTATGTTAATTTTGCGGCCGAGTTTAGATGGCCTAACAACCTAGTCACTTGGGGTAGGGCCTTATATCGGCAAAACACCGTATACGATTGTGTCAATTTGCCTGCGGAAGTTCCGACTTCATCATGGTTGATCTATGGGAGGTAATCTACTATTTCCCCCCAACACTACAAATTTCAGTTGTTGAGGAAAAAAAAAAGAGAAAATAACAAGTAAAACCATAGAAAAGCTTGAGTTTACAGATCCTGCAGGAACTTAACTAGTATGCTACTTCATTTTCTACTATTTTGTCTAACTTTGTTGTAAAACTACTTATTTGATGTATCAAAGTGAGTAATCACTTGAAATTTGAATCCATATTACAAACAAGACAAAGTTCCTATCAACGCACTCTGACCGTTTTGTGTAGAGTCAAAAATTTCTTATGTGAGGGAAATATGATACCCAGAGGTAGCAATATGATCATTATTTCATCTCTGCTTTTCATTTTTCTTTGTCTAGCTTTAAAATACTTCCTTTTATGTTCTCTTTTTTTAATCAATTTGAGCATTTCTGTGCTAATTTCATTTGTGATTCATTTGCAACTTCATGGTTATAACTTGTTTTTCATCTTCCTTTGTTAGAATCCCTCAAGGTCATGGTTGTCTGCGGTCCCGATCTGCTCCAATCTTTTTCCATTCCTGGATTTTGGATTCCTGAGCAGATGTTTTAATACAAAGCTATGTATTGATATTCTTTAGATTCTTGGAGAATGTTTTGAGCCATTAGCTATTCAAGTGGTTTCATGTTGTTCTCCTTCCTCAGCTACGCGATTCGATGCACCCTGCTTGTACTATAACTCAAAGTCGTATCCAAAAAGTTTAATGGCCCAGCGAAGCTGCTCCGGGGGTAAGAGTTGTTGGTCCATCAGGAACCGCAGACTCTGCTGATCGGTTTGCACCATAAAGTGTCTTCCGAACAAATAATGACGCCATTTCTATACGGCCAAGACAACTGCCATGAGTTCGCATTCATAAACGGAACGAAACTGTGTGGTGCCTGATAGCGCCTTACTGAAATAGGCAATGGGCCTGCCTTGTTGTAGCAACACCGCTCCCGGGCCCGAGCCCGAGGCGTCCGTTTTGACCACGTACGGTTTTGCAAAATCTGGCATGGCGAGAACTGGGAGGGTGGTCATTGCTTGCTGGAGTGCTTCGAAAGCGACTGTGGCGTCCTTGGTCCATTTGAGCTCTCCTCATTTGAGTAAGTCGGTCAACGGCCGTGCCAAATGCCTGAAATTACGAACGAATCACTGATAATATCCAGCTAACCCCAGAAATCCCCGAACCCCGCGGACATTTTTTGGTGTGGGCCACAATAATATAGCCTCCACCTTGGCCGGATCAGCTGCTACCCAGCTGTCGAGATGACATGCCCTAAGTATTCTAGCCGCTGCTGCCCGAATAAGCATTTCTTCCAGTTTGCAAACAACCGTTCCCTCCTCAAGACCTCCAAGACTGTGGCGAGATGCTCTTGATGTTCTTCCCAAGTTCAGCTATAGACCAATATATCGTCGAAAAAGACCAAAACAAAACGGCGCAAGTAAGGCTGAAAAACCTTATTCATGAGGGCCTGAAACGTGGCAGGAGCGTTAGTCAAACCAAACAGCATGAACAGGAATTCATAGTGCTCTTCGTGCGTGCAGAATGCGGTTTTCTCCACATCAAATTCCATAACCCGAATTTGATGGTATCCTGCCCTTAGGTCCAGTTTAGAGAGCACGGCAGCCTCATGCAATTCGTCTAGCAACTCGTCGATAATGGGGATTGGAAACTTGTTCGGCACCGTGAGCTGGTTGAGAGCTCGGTAGTCGACGTAAAAACGCCAGCTCACGTCCTTTTTCCTGACTAACAGAACCGGGCTTGAAAAAGGGTTACTACTCAGCCTAATAATCCTCGAGGCCAACATCTATGCTACAAGCCTCTCAATCTCACTCTTATGTGCTAGTGGATACCTGTACGGCCTGATGTTAGGCTGTTCTGCTCCTGGTTTGAAAGTGACTTGGTGATCCCGACCGCACATAGGCGGAAACCCCGCGGGTGCCTCGAACACTTCAGAAAACCTGGCCAATACCTCCTGAACGGAGTCTGGCTCACTGTCCCCTGGATTGCCCCCATCCCCTCTTTCTAGCGTATAAATCTCCAGCAAAGCCCCTACCATTTCTCTCTATGGAACTTACGAGTAAGGGTGCGTAGGCTCACTGGTTCCAAACTCAGGTTCGGGTCCCCCTTCAAGCAGGTTCACCCCTCCTCCGTCTTGAACTTAGTCATGAACTTTTGCCAGTTAACGCTTACTTCCCCCAACATCCGCAGCCAAGACACCCCTAGTACCACCTCAGTGCATCCCAACTCAAAAGGAACAAAGTCTTCAGTAACTCTGTATCCCTGGATTCTCAGGTCCACCCCCTTACACATACCATGTTGTCTGAAACAAGCACTGTTGCCTACTTGGATGCCATAATCCCCCGTGGCTGTCAAAGGAATTTGCATCTCCCTCATGACCTTTTGTGACAAGAAATTGTGTGAAGCTCCGCTGTCGACTAACACCACCACCTCACGGTCTCCCAAAGTTCCCATCAATTTCATAGTATTAGAGGAAGTAATCCCCATCAGTGAGTTTAGAGAGAGGCCAGCCACACCCTCTATCTCCTCAGTCGTAGGCTCTTCATCCACCACCAACTCTTCGTCTCCCTCATCTTCCTCCTCAGCCTACAAGAGCATTTGTAATTGTTGATTCTTACATCGGTGACCCGGACCGAATTTCTCATCACACCTAAAACACAGGCCCTTAGCTCTCCACTGTTGGAGCTCCTCCTCAATCAGACGCTTGAAGCCAGCTCCTCCTCCCTCTAACATTCCTACAGGCTGCGGCGGCCATACCCGAGCCTTTTGGGAAGGACCCTGCTCCTTACCTTGGTTGAACTGAAGGGAGTTCCCAGAGAACCCTAATAGGGGGTAGGCTCGTTCATTAACGCTCAAATCTTTTCCCAGTGTAATGACTGAGAAAATCACATACTTTAAATAATACAATTTATGTATTAAAGCCAAGGATTTTCCTAGAAAATACTATGTTATATTTTCTAACTGAATGATTTATGGAATTAACATTTGTATTCCTAAATTCTGTAGTAGATTTCATGCTAAGTTCATATTTTACAATCAAGTAAATTCGATCAATAAATTCTCACTGTACTTTAAGGCAAAAGAATTTTCAGTACATATGTAGTTTGAGAATCTTAATTCCAAGAATCTCCAAGCACAGCTTGATGTTAGCAACGTATAAAAAAAATGCTCTGACATTTTAAAAGAAGAGAAAATTCTTAATTGCCAAACAACTAGGTTAAAGTCACAAGATAAATACCTATAGTAGAATGGTACAATGTGAGTTTGGGAGTTGACACCGTCAGAAACAATGTCATTCCCGGAATATAATGGAGAAAAGTTAAATTTAGAATTTGTTCAGTCTAGAATTAATTTCGAGACTTGAAACAGTTCAAGATATTACGCTGAGTAAGAATTTAATGTGATATCAAAGTAGTCGAGGATTTAACATTGAACTGTAAACAAGTAGTAGAAAAGGAACCGTCAAAAACTATAATTTTTTGTCGGCTAAGTACTTCCTTACAGCTAGTATAATTTTGAACAATTTTAAGGGGAAACTTAAGATAGTGGACAAAAGTACAATGGGGTAGGTAATATTTTTCTCTCTCTCCTTCTCCACTTGGCCGGCCATGCATAGTAAAATTATAGCCAAATTTTGGCTAGTTGAGTGTGCTAGAGGGTTTCATGATGAGGTGTGATGGGATAGTAGTGGTTGAAGGGGAAATCATGGCATACATACTCCTATTCCCCACCTAGAACCGGCCATGCTTAGGGAATTATAGCCAAATTTTGGCTAGTGGAGTATGTTAGAGAATTTCATGATGAGATTGAGTCAAATCAACTATTGGGCAAGGATGCTTATTTCACTTCCCTCTTGAAGCACACAACCGGCTAGCCAAAGCAAGGGGGAATTAACCCAAAATTTAGCTAATTAAGCTAGCTTGATAGGCTTAGTTAAGAACTAAGAAGAGGTCAAGCAAAGTCTATAAATGTTAGACCATTAGTGCAAGCCTTACGTTAGCCATTTTGCACATCTCCTCTCCTTTTTCCACACACGAAAACTGGCCATACTCCACCTATTCTCTCTCAAAAATTTTCCCTCACTCTCCTAACCCTAAGCCACTAGCAAACAATAGAAGAAGAAGAAAAAGATCAAAGTGTTCTAGGAGGAGTCTAGTCAAGCATTTCTCCAAGGGTATAAACTCTAAACCCTCTCTTTCTTATGTTCTAGCAAAGTTTGAGATTTAAAAATATTCTTCTCAAATTTTCTTATACTCTTCTATTAACAAACCTTAGGGGAAGAAGAATGAGGATCAAAGTGTTCTAGGAGGCGTTAACCAAGGATTTTCTTTCCTCAAGGGTATAAACTCTAAAACCTTTCTCTTCTATTTTCTTTTCTAGCAAAGTTTAAGTTTGAGAATCCATTAATGTAATTTGTGATTCTCAAGGAAATGAGTTTGTAATAAGGGTGTGTGAGTTTTAAGTTGGTTTTATGAGTTTTGAGGTTAGTTTGATTAGCATTATGTAATATGTTTATTGTTGGTTTAAGTTTGCCTATTTTGGGGTTAGAGGTAAAATTTTCCGATTACTTTGAACGCGAAAATAAGGACCCTAGAGTGAGATTTTTCAGTGTTTCATAGATTGAACTTATAGTTCTCGATGTTTTGAATGTTTTCTGTGACTGTGACAAAACTCAGTTTTAACTCTAAAAGTAAGTTTGAAGCCATTTTGTAAAAACGAATAAGCTGTCTAACACAGTTTCAAAAAAAAAAACAGCAGCCACTGTTTTCAGCCAAACGATGCCCTTAGAGGCTGAATTTCAGTTTTCTCCAAAAACAACAATTTTAGATCTCGACCAGACAAAGAATTGTCGCGAAGAACAGATTTTTGAAATCCAAACCTAAGATGCAGTAAAATGTAAATTTCAAAAACTGCACAGTTTTAACTAAACAAACCTAACACAGTGTGATTTTTAACAAAAGTTTATCAAAGAACCCGATAGGTGATTTCAGTAAAAATACTATAGTGTTCAACATCATTTTAACGGAAGTATTTGTAAAGAAAGTTTCAAGAAAAATGCTTTCTTTTAAAGAACTTAATAGTTTATCGAGCAAATCATCCCGACAGGCGCCAACGAGCCCAATACGATAAGTCCTTAGAATTTTAAAGATTGGATGTGGGTCAAATGCCCACATTCATTCAAGAGATCCCGTTTGAGTGTAAATTTCAACGGCCTAAGAGTTAGAATGCCGTGAATAAGTTTCTGGGCCGAATTGGGCCTTAATCTCATAATAAGTCCAATGAAGAAAATTATGGAGAATACGTTACTAGATTGGGTAAATAATTTTCAATCTAGACATAAGTATGTTAAGAGCAATTAAGGAAAATAAGATTTTAAGGATTTAATAAATTGATCCTTATAGTAAATTATCCTTCAGTAAAGGAAATGAATACATGCCTTAAGTAAAGGGCTAGATGTCCTTCATTAGTTGCTAAAATAGAATAGCAAACAACAGTTAATCTCACACTCTTAATGGGTGTTCATTTTCAAAAGTAAGCAAGTAAGAGAATAGGTTGTTTGGTGAAAAGTGGATTCCAGCTCTGTAAATCAAGTAAATAGGAATCTCGCCTACAGCATGAATAGATTTTAAAGAAAAAATTACACATGTTATATATGCATGTTTATGCTTTAAGTATTGTATGCGATGCTATGTCATGCTGCATACACATAAGCAGTGCACATGAACTATATGTGTTTAAGTTAATTTAATGTTATGTATGCTATGCTAGATCATATTGCATACATTTAAGCAGTGCATATGAATTATATGTGTTTGAGTACATTCCATGTTATAGTATGCTATGCTATGTCATATTGCATACACCTTAATAAGTCAAGCGAAATTTATAATAATAATCTCAGTTGAGTGCCGTACCAGCCTCCGCAATGGAGGTAATTCTGTGACTACCATCAATCCCTTGAGGCACAAGGCCAAGAAATGGTAAGTTGTGCAGTCCCATACTCCGCAAGAAAGATAATGGAACAAAGAAAAAAGAGGGTCCTCCGCAAGGGAGGCGCTCAGTTCAATTTAAATCACGGTGTCATTGGGGACCTTGCAAACCCTTATATCCCGATGATTTCGCGCAAGTGATACGAGCACTCGGGCCTATCAGTAAGAAAGATAAGATAAGATAATAAGACTATGATAAGACATCATAATTAAGCATAATCAACTCGTGCATATTTATTCATGTGAACTTACAGTTATTTTGTGAGAGATAGTTCCTACTTGCTGAGCGAAAACTCAATCGGATATGTTCATGCTGTAGGTAAGAAACCTGTCAGCAATTTTTGAAGGGCAATGACGAGCGGCGGACGAATGGTGGAGATGGAAATGGATACCGCTCACACTTAAATCTTTCGTAGTAAGTTTAAGTAAAAACATGTATATGTATACATGATTCAAAGGTTTCAAGCATGTATATTTAAAAAGTATATGTACATATGTATGTTAAGAAAACCGAGGTTGTAGCTAACGACCATAGTCTTGAGTATTTAAGTTTTAGAATGTTACAACAGTGCATGCAACAAATAAATAAATTTTAAACATGATGATTTAAATGATTGATCTTAAAAGGACTTTAAGATGTACTTGAATTTAAAATTTCTCACGAAATCCATTTTAAAGTCAAATTAGATGGTCAGATTGAATTGACTAGTTTTAGAAAGGCTTTTAAAGAGTATTTGAAACAAGAGTTCAAACGCTGCTCAGTTTGAAGGATATTTCTAGAAGTTTTATTTTAGTTGAAATTACGAAAAGCTTTAAGAAATTTAGTGATTCATTCTTTTGAAATTATTGTTACGAATTATGAAATTATTTCTTCTTATATTTTAAAAAAAATGTTTCACAAATTTTAAGAAATCCCAGTAAGTACAAGTTAATTTCAGTTACGGTTACGGCCACCCAGGAGGGTCGTCACACCCAACCCCTCCGACCTCCATCCTCGGCCCAGCCTCCCCTTCCTAAGCCTCTCTATGGCCTCATTTTGTTCCTTAAACTGTTGGGTCAGGTCCATCGCCTCTTGGAGGTTAATGAGCCGATGTAACTTAACCTCAGCCCTTACATCCTCACGAAGCCCATTAAGGAAACCCCCTTTAAAGATAGGTTCAGGAATACCTCACATTGAAGCCGCCAAAGCTTCAAACTGATCGCGGAATTCCGTCACCGAGCTGTCATGCCGCAGTGCCATCAGCCACTCCATCGGGTCGCCGTCCTTCGCGCAGCTGAACCAGTGGATAATCGCTGCCTTCAAATCTCGCCAGTCGGTGAACGGGTCATGCGAATCCAGCCACTGAAACCAGCTGAGAGCCCTGCCTTCCATGCACACCAACGCCGCCAGTACCTTTTCCTCCTCCTCGACGCCATTAATGGCAAAATAGTATTCCACCCAGAACACCCAGCCATATGGATCTTCCCCTTGGAAGATCGGGAGCTCGAGTCATCTTCACCGATGGTCCATCCTTCCGCGGCCCCTATTTGGTGAATCGGCCAGCCCAGCCCATGTCGGTCTCGATCCCGACCCTACTCCCGCCGCTGGGGTACTGGTGGTTGGGTCTCCAGTTGACGACCGATCAAGGTCTCCAATCGGTGGAGGGCCCCTTGAACATCGCCAATCTGGGTCCCTAGGGCCAAGACATGCTCCTGCAATTGAGGTACGTGATCCACGATCGCCCCCATCAATTGAACGGTTTCTCTGATTGACTCGAGGCTTCCTTCCAAGCTGGAGACGCGCCCCGGGTCTCACCGCCGGCGAAGTATGAGCCTTGGATCGTCGGCTCTGATACCAAAATGATAGAGTCCTAGATGTTTAGCTAAGAAATGCCAACAAATTGATAGTCTGAAATCCAACTGATCATATTTTATTGAATGAAAATGCTTAACATCAACCTATAGCTCATAGGAAGCCCCGGAATTCAACAATGGAAGAAGAAACAGAGTATAGGAAAATTCAGATTTTGAGTAACCCCCAAACTCCCAGCCAGCAGCACATGCAACAGAATCACCACCCCTCCTTCCTGCCACAATACTCCCCTGATATTCTCCCAAGCTCTAACCGACCATTCCCGGATCCCCAGGTGGACTTCCCACCTCTATAGGCTGGCCCACTTCATTTAGTCCCGGGCCTACAATATTACCCCTATTGGCCCTTCTCACATCTCACATAAACTTTCCTTACCGGGGGCCTAACAGAGTTATTGCAGCCAAATCTTATCGTCACAAATTCACATGTTCTATGTTAATTTTGCGGCCAAGTTTAGATGGCCTAACAACCTAGTCACTTGGTGTAGGGCTTTATATCGGCAGAACACCGTATACGATTGTGTCAGTTTGCCTGCGGAAGTTCCGACTTCATCATGGTTGATCCATGGGAGGTAATCTATTATTTTCTCCCCAACACCACAAATTTCAGTTTCTGAGAAAAAATAGAGAGAAAATAACGGTAATCTACTATTTTCCCCCCAATACCACAAATTTCAATTTCTAAGAAAAAACAAAGAGAAAATAACAAGTAAAACCATAGAAAAGCTCGAGTTTACAGATCCTGCATGAAATTAACTAGTATGCTACTTCATTTTCTACTATTTGGCCAAACTTTGTTGTAAAACTACTTATTTGATGTATCAAAGTGAGTTATCACTTGAAATTTGAATCCATATTACAGGCAAGACAAAGTTCCTATCAACGCATTCTGACCGTTTTGTGTAGAGTTAAAAATTTCTTATGTGAGGGAAATACGATACCCAGAGGTAGCAATATGATCATTATTTCATCTCTGCTTTTCATTTTCCTTTGTCTAGCTTTAAAATACTTCCTTTTATGTTCTCTTTTATTAATCAATTTGAGCATTTTTGTTCTAATTTCATTTGTGATTCATTTGCAACTTCATGGTTATAACTTGTTTTTCATTTTCCTTTGTTAGAATCCCTTAAGGTCATGGTTGTCTACGGTCTCGATCTGCTCCAATCTTTTTCCATTCCTGGATTTTAGATTCCTGAGCAGATGTTTTAATACAAAGCTATGTATTTATTAATATTCTTTAGATTCTTGGAAAATTTTTTGAGCCATAAGCTATTCAAGTGGTTTCATGTTGTACTCCTTCCTCTAGAACCTAATGATCTTGATCCTAGGCTTTCGCTAAATCCTTAAACAACCTTGTAATCCCTCTCATCATGTTTTTCGGTCAGGTCAGAACCGTTTGAAGAGAAGGACAAGATATTGAGAAAATTATCTCAGATGATCCGATTTTGAATGAGAACCGGCTAATCAGACGTCTTAATTTACCAATGCATATATGATTTTTTATAACTAGACTAGAAGAATTTTCCTTTTCTAATTAAAAACCAGAAGATTTGCTTAACCTTCTTATGTGTGAAAAAGGTTAAGTTTTGGAGTAAACCGAATTGTCCTGACCAAGTTCTTAAGTCTTAATTTTGGCTTTCGAAACTCGTATGTTCTTGGTCTAGTTTGAATAAAAATTCTGCATTAGTTCAACAAGTCAAAATTTGGTATCGAATAAGACCCAATATAAGTTTTCAGTTGTTCAATATTATTGTTCAAATATTGATTCAATAATCTTGACTCAAACTTAACATCATGCTTTCTTGACAGGATAATATAAGAATTGTGGATGAACTCATACCAAACCAAGTAAGCTCAACAAAAGTGAGGTAAACCAACGTGTTATTATCGACTTACATGAAAAGAGTTTTTGAGTCAACAAACAAAATTTTCCCCACCACCCTTAAATTTTGTCTTGCGAGGATTGCATTTCAAGAGGGTTGTCAATAACATATCTGGAAGTGATTGATTATATTAAAGAAAATCATATTTACTTGAGCTCAAACGACAAGTGATGCTCACCTCTACTTTTAGGCAATGGATTTATTTAAAATAAAATTAAAAAAAAAAAGAGAAAGAGAGAGAGAGAGAGAGAGAATGCTTCAACAAGGAAAGTCGAAAGTGTGTTTCTTAGGTCTCGTTCGCTTCGCGGATTCGAGTTTTCAATTCGAGCTAATATGTGACATTTTTTAGAGTTTTTAACTATGTCAGAAAAAGTTAGATGTGACATTTTTTGAGAGCGTTTAACTATAGAAACTTAAAATTAAAAACTCAAATCAGTGAAATAAAAGCAATCTTATAAACTCGTGCTACACCTCAGAGCATTTTTGAGGCGTACGCCTCTTCTAAAAGTGGTTTTCTGAGGGTTTTCTTACCCAAATTTGATGTTGGCTTTAACTCTTAATGAGGCCCTGAATCAAATAGGCCCTTTATCAGTTTTGTCACACAAAAAAACAAATACAAAAAAACAAAACCAGACAAATTAGTGCCTTCCTCCTCCTCTCATTCGGGATATTACGCTCTCTCCCTCCCACCTCTCCTCCTTCTTCGCGAATATCAGACAAATTAGTGGCCTTTATGAAGATGGAGAAGGTACTAGTACTCGAACAAGACCTGAAAAAGGTTCTGGAAATAATAGTAGGGTAGGTTAGTGGTTCACATATGTTATGAAAAAATCATATTAAATATAGTAACTCGAGTATAATTTTGATTATTAGGTGTCATTTAAGTGATGAAGAAGAGGAGTGGATAGACTTCAACTCTGACAAGTGAAAATTTGTGGACAATGAGAGACAAAAATTGACTGATGCTTCTCTTAGTACTAGTAGTGATGAATCTGATGATGCTTGACTTGTCTTGTTATGGATTGAGTGGTTAAAATTTCTTATTTCTAGTGATTATTGAGTATGAATTTAGTTTTTCATAACTATTTTTTTTAACGGAAATAGTAGAAAATATGCCAATATGAAAAGCTTAAGAAAGTATATAGGCCAATTTTTAGTTATAGAAATTAATAGGTCATAACTTGTCAAGTTATGGTTCATAACCAGATAAGTTATGAACAAACTTGTCAAGTTATGGTTCATAACCAGACAAGTTATAAACAAAAACTGTGAATTATGGATAATAACTTGTCAAGTTATGGTTCATAACCAGACAAATTATGGATAAAAATAATAATTTAGCCTATTTATTAACGTATGTAAACTATTGATCTATTAATTTAAATTCATCTCAAGTCTTGACTTTTTTTTTTTTTTTAAATGCATTTTTTGAGGCGTAAATTTTTTGAGGCTTACGCCTCAAAGCCCTTTTAGCAAAATGTCACACGGCCCGATTCCACATTTTAAAAGTTTGGTCAGAGGAGGTAGACTTAGATTTCCTTTTCTTTTTTTTTTTTTGGTTTAACACATCTAATTAATGGTTGAATTAACTTTGGTTCAAATCAAAGTAGAATATGTTTACCGAACAGGCCATAAGTCAAAGCCGTATTTTTCCAATCTCTCCCATTCTCCATCTTTTGTCTTTCTTGGGCTGCTGCGGGACTGAGAGCCGCAGTTCAACAACATAACAGGTGTTTTCAACTGTATTATTGGGACATTTTACAAGTTCTCCTTTTTTATTAGAATCATGAGATTAAAATTATTTTTAATTTACGTGTATTTTTTATAAAAAAAAATATTATAGTGAATTATGAACTATGATTCGAATCAGAGAAAGAATTCTCCAACCAAACGGGCTCGACATCGTTCTGATTTGAGTTTTTAATTCGAGTTGATAAGTTATTTTATGTTAAATTTTTTAATTGTAACAGAAAAGTTAAAAGTAACTTTTTGTGAGAATTTTTATTTTGTTTTGTTATTCACTTTGTTTTTGAATTTAAAAACTTGTACCTTTTCTCTTTTTGAACTTTAAATCGTTAGCGACTTCCTTGTTTGGGTCCGTCTAATATATTCTTTTTAAAGCTTCCGTTACACTAATTGAAAGTGTTAAAACTTGATTTGAGATAAAACTATAATTATTAAGGACAAAATTTATAAAACTGAATTTACACACTCCATCTTTTGTTTGTTTTTTTTTTTTTGAGCCGTCGCACGATGGAGCAACCAGTTCTCCCAATGGGAAAACCCATGCCTTTTTAACCAGCAGCATGTGCGAGATCTCTCTCACTCAATATACCATTGTATTTAGTGACTTAATGCATGGTATTTATCGTTTTAGTTTGACCAATTCAAAATTAAGATAATCTTTTATGACTCATTTAGTTCGTTAATTTGAGTTTTTAATTCGAATTAAGATTTGATTTTATGTGAAAACTTTTTACTATAGTGAAAAAATTAAATACGACTGTTTTTAAGAGCTTTTTACTGTAGTAAAATTTAAATTATAAACTCGAATCGGTAAAATAAACGGGACATAAAATTACAATCAATTACAATTTCTTCTCGTGTTATAACAACTTGTAAGGTAATACCTTTTGAT